GCGGCGCACGAGCGGCGCGGGGCAGCCTGGGCCTCCCCCACCCCCCTCCAGGTTTCGCGGTCGCCTTGACGACCAGGCGGCCTGCAACGGCGGCGGGGTTTAGTCGTTGAGCGGGCCTGGGAACCAGGACCCTGCGGACCTCGCCCAACTCGGCCGGCCCCTGCCGGAGTCAGTCCCAGCTTACTCCGAACAGGGACTATGAGAAAATGGTCGGGCAAACGAGGAGTAAGCTCAATGAAGCGGCTTCAGAGCCGTTGCATTCACCCCGCTCCACGCAGTATAAGCGGCGGCGCCGGGCCACCGGAGCTGGGGAGCCGGAGTTGGAGGAGGAACCGAAGGAGGAGGTGAAAAAGCCCCAGCTGCCTTTGCCTGTAGGCGGGGGGAACCTGCCAGGGGGCGCCCGGAGATACTCGCCGCGAAGGACCCGAAACCTGAACGCGCAGAATTGCATGCAGCTGGAGGTGGTCTCAAAGACACTTGTTCTGGACCGCTTCCAATTCCTCAGCTGTTTCCTGGAGCAACTCCGCGACAAGGTGCATCTATTGCAGAGACGTCAGTTCACGGGCAGGATCACCTTCTGCATAGGTGAGCAGAGCCGACCAGGGAGAGCCGTCGGCAGGAGCCCCGACGGCTCTGGGCCAGTGCACTCCCGCTTTCACCCAAGGGACTCTCAGACCCTCTGAGCCTCGGGTTGGCTGGCTGTGGTTTTGGTGAGTCTTGAAGATCAGTTTCATAGGCAAGCCTAGCAGGAATAATGGCAAGGTGTAATTTCTGGAAAATCGTTGAGAAGAATTCAAAGCCCTCTTAGTTTTTTATTTTCCCCAGGGTTTTCAGACATAGTGATCACTTCATGTGTTACCAGCAAAATGTCATCATAATCAAGGCAGCCATTTATCCAAGTTGTGAAAACGATTGTTTAGCTCTTAGGGGCGAGATTTAGACATATTTTTTCTGTACTTTGAATAAAGCAAAATAAAGTATCGGTTCTTTTAACTATCTGAGAAACTTTAATAGTGGAAATAAGGTCAAATTAGGCAATATATTTCCCCATGTTGGTATTCATTGACTTTCATCTTGCTGGGGAGCTTCGATGCCTACACTGGGAAATTTTCTTCTTATTTGCATTCCTCATCTTATATACCTGAAGAGGTAACTTAAATGTTGCTGTTTCATTAAAATCAATTTTGAGCCCAGTCCTTGCTCAGACTGGCTGCTGATATAAATTGAAACATAGATAACTATCTCTTAATGTAAGTTGTGGGGTTTTTTTCTATCCTAAGTTGACTGCTGATATTAAAGTAGAATGAACCTCCACATTTGGGGTGTTTTAGAAATACTTGAGAAAAAATAGATAGGGGTTCATATTTAGATTTTATCAGATGTCTAATTATGGCAACACATACATCCCACTCCAGAGTCCACATGGTGTTAGATACCTAGGTGTTTTGCATCCTAAACACAAGCTCTGGTGCGCCCTCTACTGGCACATTGAAGGCACTCAATGAATGTTGGGTGAAATGATGACTGAGTATATTAAGTGCTATGAGAGTTGAAAAGAGTGAACTAATACTTTAGGATGGGAAGTGGGAAATGAGTTCAGGGGAGACTTTTAGGAAAAGGTGGGATTCGAATTGTGACAAAAACTGGTATTTGGACGTGTGAAGCAGAGGACAAGTGTAAGAGGCTGATAGACCAGCATAATCAGAGTCACGGAAGTAAGAAAATACAAAAGCAAGGGAAGGCTGAAAGTAAGGGTACAATAACGTACAAAAAAGAAGAAATAGGGAGTTTAAAATATTGGCTGGGACCAGCCACGGAGAATCTAATTCAAGTCTGGGTTTAAGGCAGTTGAACTTTATTCTGTAGGAAGGCACTGATTGATTCTTTTCTTTAGGAAAATAATTTTTTAATGACGTGAAATGCCTCATTAAAGTTAACCATTTTTAAAGTGAGCAATTTTATAATGTTTAGTATATTCCCAACAGTGGCATTGAATGATTGTTAAATAGAGTGACGTGATCAGAAGTGTACTTCAGAGAGATTAAGTTGATAGCAGTATGTAAAATGGACTGGATATGAACTGAGAAAAGAAGCAGAAAAAATGATTGAATACTAGAATCCAGGCAATAGTGGTCTTAAGAAGGTAGCAACGGTTGGAATGGAGAAGAAAGGACAGAGGTGAGAATTGATGGAAACATTGAGAGAGCTGGGTAGGTGGTGAGGTAGAAGAGTGAAAAGAGAAGGGAGAGAGAATGTTCAGGCAAGAGGATTATAGATTTAGGAATTATCTGTGTAGAAGTGTGTTTAAAAAAAGTAAAAATTGAGTAAGATTGCGAAGAGATGAAAGAGGGCAAAGTAAAGATACTTGGGAAACACCTCCCCCATACTTAGTTTTAAGAGATGAGAGGAAAGGAAAAGCCAGATAGATAAGCATATAAAAACAAATGGTCAGAAAAATAGAAGAACTGGAAGAGTTGGTGTGATGGAAGATGACACAGGAAGAAATCCAAGAATCTGGTCAAATGCTACAAAGAGATTGAAAAGCATGAGACTTGAAAGAGGCTGTTGATGTTGATAACTGAAGGTCATTGATCATTTAAAAGAGTTACAAGAACTTATTAAAATGAAGGTGGCTAAGAATCTTATTAAATAATGGCAGGGGGTGGAGGAGAGAATATTTCCTAGTTTGAAGGGCCTCTAGATCTAGAGAAGTGTTCTAAGGCTTAGGAAAATCAAAGGCTAAAGGGAAGGATTAAGGGGACAGTACGATTGAGGTTCCAAGAGTTGGGAATGGTTGATGGAGCAGTCTTGGAATAATTGGGAAGGGTGGAATTAAAAAGGCACAAATTTGAGAAGCTAACTGTAGAAAAGAGAAAAGATGCTTCCTCTTCTGAGATGATAGAGATTAGAAAACCAAGGATTACTGTATAGAGAAATGTTGTAGTGGACATAAGAGAAGTTAGGAGTGCTTGCATCAAATGATCTTCGTCTCAGTAAAGAGTAAAGTTGGGTCACTTTCAGAGGTGAGCTTGACAGAGACAGGATACAGGGGCTCAGGAGATAGGCTTTGTATCACAGCTTTGGAAGGAGTGGAGATAAGCACTTCATGCGTTTACAATATTGGCATCGTTACACCTTAACCATTTTATCAGGTGTGGAATGTGGTGTAAGGGAAGGAGGGAGTGAGAGACATGAGAATCTTGTGAGGATTTTTAGAAAGCTAGATGGACTTAGTAGGATATTTGATCATTTACTTAAATATCATTTTTAAGAGTTTTTGCCAGTTTATATAATTGTCTGGAGAATAAGAAAGAGGATATAAATACAGTCGAATAGGACACTCTCTGAGTATCTTAACAGTTAATGAAACCTATCAGAGGGGCATCTGTTTCAAGTCGAGAGGGACGGTATAGATTTAATTTTAAAGTGGTTCAGAGTATATTATGATAGAAAGTTAACATACGTAGTAAGTATATACTTTTTCTATAAAGAGCCAGGTAGTAAATGTTTTAAGCTTCACAGGCCACATACAGTCTCTGTTACCTATTCTTCTTCTTTCTTATTTTTACTACCCTTAAAAAACGTAACAAGGATTTTTAGCTTTCAGACAATGCAAAAAAAGACCATGAGCCAAAGTTTGCTGATCTTGGTATAAAACAAGTAAATCTTCGGAAGAATATTGAAGAGTAGTAGGAATGAGCTCAGGATGGTAAGAATATGGAAAAAAGAATGGAGAAGCATAATTGGGAATTTACAACATTGTAGTGGTTTTTTAAAAATTATTAAATACTTGTTTTAGAGGTATACTATAGTAAAGCAGCTTTTAATGACTTTTTTCTTTTTTTCTTTTCCCAGCTGTCTTTGTGGGAGTTTTGCACTGGTAAGACTAATTTGAAATAAATAAAAACATTTGGATTAAAAATTGCTATCACTGTTTGCATATAATAAAATGATAACTGCTTGGTATGTGTATAGAACATCTGTATGTGCACCAGCTTACATATAAAACTTTGTATGTGAAACAGCATTTATAAATGGGTGCATTAGGGGAATAGTAACTTATGAGTTAAAATATTTTTGCTTTACCAAAGGATTCACCAGTATATTTCTTAAATACCTAGATTTTCTAATGTATTTTGCATGTTTATCTCATGTAAAAATTTTTTATTTTATAGTAATTGAGTGTTAGTGACATAAAGTTAGAGATAAAGTTTTAGTTAACACCTGTCGTTTGGAAATCAGGTAGAAATGAAGATAAACACTCTCTAATGGTAGTACAGAATTAAATGAGCCTTTCAGTGTGCATACACATGCACATTATTTTATACAAGTGATCTATTTGTAAAAAAACTATATGTAAAATAATATTTTTCCTCTGACATACCTTCATTTCTAACTGAGCTCAAGGATTTCGACTCTTGGGATGAATGAGATTGCCCCACATCCTGTTGGGACAGTGCTGTTTTGACCATTAGTCTGCAGGGAGATTTCTGTGTTAAACTAAGGCTTTAATGATCATAAACATTTCCTGCAGCTATTGGTACCCTGGCATATGTCCTACATGTAAATGAAGATGAGTGTTAGACAGGTTTACTATATGGAATTTTGCTTTATTTTCTATTTCATTGGAGAGCATCTACTATATAAATTAAGGATAGTATAATTACTGACTATAACAAATTTTACTTTTCACACATGCTCCTATTTTCAGTCCCTACAGCTGTTTTTTTGAGTTGCATTAATAAAATATCTTAAAGTACAGTCTGGTGTTCTTTGGCATTTTATGTAGTATTAACTTATTTAAAAATTGCTTTAATCTAAGATAATTTTATTTAAAATTATATTCCAAAGCTTTTCAGCAATTAGAGGCATTTCTCAAACCTCATACATTAGAATAACTTGTGAAACTTAACAAAAACATGCCTCTGTTCTGATTTAGAGTCCTGGAGTGGGAGGAGGGATAAAAATACCTGCAGGAGTTTTAGATATACAATGAAGAGCCAAAGAGTGCAGGAATTTCAGCTATGTGCTAATGCTAACATATATATGCCTAAAAATATACAAGTTAGTAAGCAAATTATAAAATTATCCCAGTATTCATTATAAAAATTTATTCTTTTTCCTTTTTATGGTTTTCATACTTTGTTCATACCGTTACTTTAGTAATTTTTTTGAAACATGTTCTTCTTTTTTGCCTAGGATGCATTTGGTAACACTTTTTGAAAATGATCGTCATTTTTCTCACCTCTCATCTTTGGAACGGGAGATGACTTTTCGCACTGAAATGGTTAGGTTCTTTCTTCTAATGAATGAATTTGTGGTTTAAGAATAGTAAGTCTATAAGGTAAAAATTTATTAGGAACTGAAATGAATTTTTGGTGAACTGCACTATTTCTCAAGCTATAATCTAGGCTCAAAGTGGATTAAAGACCTAAATGTAAGATCTGAGACCATAAAACTCCTAGAAAAGAACATAGGCAGAACACTCTTGGCATGAATTGTAGCAATATTTTTTTGGATCTGTCTCCTAAGGCAAAAGAAGTAAAAGCAAAAATCAACAAATAGAGCTTAAGTAAACTTAAAAGACTTTGCAAAGCAAAGAAAACCATCCACAAAATGAAAAGACAACCTACTGAACCAGGAGAAAATATTTGCAAATGATATGACTGTGACATTAAAAACACTCATGTTGTGCAACCATCACCACCATCCATCCAGAACTTTCTTATTATCCTAAACAGAAACTGTACCTGTTAAACACTTAGCCCCCCCACTCACCTAGCTCCTGCTGACTTTTATTTGACTCCCTGTCTACAAATTTACCTAGTCTAGTTATCTCAGCCACTGCTTTTAAATCTCACCTTATAGCCCCTTAAAGCTCTGAAGAAAGGGTATGTTAGCATTTGTAAAGCATTTGAATTTTTAATATAGGTATTACTTCCAAAGACAGCATTAAAATATTATTAAATAAGGAGTGTAGCTATGGCAGAGTCTGAGCTTTGATGACAGATCACTAAATTTGAATGGCAGTTCTATGCTTCATTGTGTGATACTGGTCAGTTAACCTGTCTGGATTCTCAGTCTCATCTGTTAACTAGAAATAATGCCAGCCTTACAGGATTTTATTAAAAACGAAGGAAGATACTGAGTGAAGTACATAGCATAGTACCTGGTGCAAAAGTAATAGCTGTTATTAATAAGATTTATATGTTTTTATATATCTCTAAATACAGACATGCATATTAGGTTTCCTTTCATTGTATTGCCTTGTTTCTGTCATAAGCCAAAGAGAGAAATCTTTATATGATCTCTTGTTACTAATCAAAACTATGAGGAAATGCTCTTTCAGATATCAGCTGAAACATCTTTAATTTCGTAGTCACTAGTGTTGCTTAAACTATCAAAAGTAAAATACCTGTAGTTGTATGAGGCAGGAGTGAGTATAGAGTTGAAGATTATTTTTAATGTTTTTTGGGGAGAATGTATTACCAACTGTGTGGCCCTTTATTTTTTAGGACGGAAAGCAGGAAACTGATGAAGTAATCTGAAACAACGTGCTTTTGTTAACTTTTGAATTTTAGCTATACAGCACTTTTACTGGTGTAATAAAGTCATTATTTCACATGCTGGAATAATGCACTAAAATAATCCCTTTTCCAGGACACAGAGTTTGTGTCATGAACAACAGTTGACTTTTAGTTAGCTTTCACTTTATACAGAGCCAATAGATGGAGCTACGAAGTAAGATGAAAGCATGAACTAGGTCTCATGATGTTTATGATCATTATTTATTTCTTAAGAGTTGGAGAAAGAGAAGTAATTTTCTGTATGCAAAATTGTACATGTACAAGGACATGAAGTCATGTCTGTGCCAGAATTCATCAGATCTCAGCCTAGTCTAGGCATCTCATGATGTGGGGATAAAAATCAAGCTTGGTGGAATTAAAAATATATTATATACATACTTTAAGGTATGGTTAGAAAACCACCTTAAAATGTTTAACCGCCCCTCCAACTCTTTCAAACCTACAGATAACATAAAAGAATAGCACAGTAATAACCTGCAGATGTATGATTTTTTGAGTCCAAGAATGCAGTAGTGAGGAGAAATTAGGAAGTCTTGCTACCATTTTCTTTTTTTCAGGAGAAATTGTTCAAAAAGAGTTATAGAAACATTTTCAAATGTTCACTTACATTGACAATTTGTGCTCTTTTAAAGGGACTTTATTATTCCTACTTCAAGACCATTATTGAAGCGCCTTCATTTTTGGAAGGACTGTGGATGATTATGAATGACAGGCTCACTGAATATCCCCTTGTAATTAATACAGTGAAACGCTTCCATCTTTATCCAGAGGTGAGCAATATTTGGGGACAAATATTTGCGGATGGATTTTTTTGTATCATGTAAAAATAGAAAGTAAGCACAGTGATGTTATAGAAAGGAGGTGACCTTTAAAGTTTATTGATTGTATGCATCCTTATAGTTAAGCAGAGTATCAAAAGTTCCTCTCCTCAATTTAAAGACCTTCAATCTGTAACATTGCTAAACTCATTGGTTCTAGGAGTTTTTCTAAATTATGTCAGTACAAATAGAGACAGTTTTATTTCTCTTTCTCCAAACTGTCCCTTTTATTTCTTTTTTTTTGCATGGCTAGGATATCTATTATAATGTTGAATAAGAATGTTGAAAGCAGATACTTTTCTCTGATTCCCAGTATTAGGAGAAAAGCATTCAGTCTTGCCCTGTGAAGTGCAATGTTAGCTGTAGATTTTCAGAGATGTCCTTTACTAGGTAGAAGAAATACACCTTTATTCTTAGTGTGCTGAGAGTTTTTATTTTGAATGTTGAATTTTGACAAATGCTTTTTTCCTACATGAGGAGTTGGCATACTTTCTGCAAAATATCAAATGTGAAATATTATAGGTTTTATGAAGCACATATGGTCTCTGCTATTGTTGTTTTTAACAAATCTTTAAAATGTGAACACTATTCTTAGCTTCCAGTTTGTACAGAAACAGGCCATGGGCTGTAGTTGGCATCTATTAAGATAATCATGTGGTTTTTCTGATTTATTCTGTTAATATGATGAAGTACAATGATGGCTTTTTAAATGTAAATACATATATGCACAGAGATAAATATAAATGTATCAAAGAATATGAGAGAGAGACTATATGTGTCTCGCAAAGCCTTAGGTCTTACTATCTTGCTCTTTCTAGTGAAAGCTTGCTGACCTCTGATATGGGAGAATGACTCAATTTGGGAAGCAAAGTGGGTTTCCTGGGTAGCACCAAGGGCTTCATTTGAGGTTCATGGTCTTGAACCTAGAATGAGACCAGTCAGCAGAGTTGGTTTCTTCAGCTGTAATCAGCTTCCCAAGTATGAGCACTGAGAAGGTAGAAAGCGCGATTTAATCATGTAAGATCAGCTTTCCTTTGAATGTAGAAAGGCAGAAAGACCAGTGCTACCAGCCTAGCAGCAACTACACAAGCTGGACAATCTGCAAAATTATAACTTTCCCTGAAACTATCAGGGAGCTGAGGTAGTAGGGCAATCAGCTAACCCAAAGTCAAAGGAAAAAGGTGCCTGCCAGAAGAACAGGGACACAAACATCTGTTTACGTGGGTCTTCTGCCACTAGACACCAGAATAAAGAGCTTAGCTCAAATTATTCACCAGCTGGGAAGTGCCTAGCATGAGTTAACAAGAGAATGTATGACCCCTGGGACTGCAGATATAAGGGAATTTACAGTCACTTGCAGGTTTTCCCCACAGATCTGACTGGGTGCTGACAAAAGATTATCAAGAGTCCTGAGGAAGCGTCCCCTGTGGCAAAGCCTGGGGGAGCCACTTAGGGAGAGGCATGAAACTCTGGTTGCAGCCTTCTCCCTTGTATTCCTTATGCGGAAAAAAACCTTAAACTGCTGGGGGGAAGGGTAAAAAACTTGTACCAGAGTAGGACACAGGTCCTGACTTAGCCCTTGACTTAGTTTTGCTAACTCCTGTCCTTAATGCCTGTTTCATTTCTTCTCTCTCCAGTTCTCCCAAACTGTTTTCCCTCTTTTATTCTCTACTAATGACCCTGTTTCCTACTATTTTTCAATGCCTGTGAACAGGGACTTTTGTTTATGACTGTGCCTAGTGCCTGGAATATAGAATTAATTCAATATATTTGTTGAATGAATTAAATGGTAATTTCCTTCTGGTACATACTAGGTATAATTTTTTTTTATTATTTTGTAGTTTTTAGTGAACATGTCTTAAATTCATTTTGATAAATACTGTGTTTTTAATTTCAAATTCCAGTTGTTTATTGCTGATATGTAGGAAGATGATTGACTTATGTATATTAACTGTATCCTGCAACCTTGATATAATAGCTTCTTAGTTCCAGGAGTTTTTGGTTGATTTATTCAGATTTTCTGATAGACAATCATGTTATCTGTGAACAAAGTGTTTTCTCTCTTACTTCTGATCTCTATACTTTTTTTTTTCTTACCTCATCTCATTGTATTGGCTAGGAGTTTTAATATGATATTGAAGAGGAGTGGCGAGATGGGACATTCTTGCCTTGTTCCTTAGTGAGAAAGCTTCAAGTTTCTCATCAATAAATATGATTTTAGCTGTAGGGTTTTTGTAGATGCTCTTTATCTAGTTAAGGAAGTATGCCTCTAGTCATAGTTTACTGAGAATTTTTTTTAAATCATGAGTGTTAGATTTTGTCTGTTGCTTTTTCTGCATCTATTGATATGATCTTGTAATTTTTCTTCTTTAGCTTGTTGATATGATGAATTAAATTAATTGATTTTCAAATGTTGAACTAACCCTATATATGTGCATTAAGTCCCACTTGGTCATGATGTATAATTCTTTTTATACGTTGTTGAATTTGATTTGCTATTTTGGGGGGATTTTTGCATCTGTTCATGAAAATTATTTTTCTATAGTTTTCTTGTAGTATCTTTTTCTGGTTTGGTATTATGGTAATTCTGGCTTCAAGGAATGAGTTCATAAGTATTTCCTGTACTGTGTCTTCTGGAAGAGAATCTAGAGAGTTGGTATACACTCTTCTTTGAAAGTTTGATAGAATTCAGTGGTGACCTGATCTGGGCCTGTTGCTCTCTGATCTAGAAGGTTAGTAATTGTTGACTCAATTTACTTACTAGATACAGTCCTATTCAGATTGTCTATTTCTTCTTATGGCACTTCAAGGAAGTGATTCACAGGTTATAAAATTTGTGGGCATAGGGTTGTTCATTATCTCTTTATTATCCTCCTAATAACTACAAGATCTGTAGTGATGTCCCCTCTTTTGTTTCTGTTATTAGTAATTTGTGTTCTCTCTTTTTGTCTTAATTAACCTGGCTAGAGGCTTATTGATTTCATTGATACTCTGTTTTTAGATGTATGCACATTAAGGATTGCTATGTCTTCTTGTAGAATTGGTCCTTTTATCATTATGTAACACCATTCTTTACCTCGGTAACATTTTCACTATGAAGTCTGCTCTGTATAAAATTAGTATAGCTACTCTGATTTTCTTTTAGTGTCAACATAGTATATCTTACTTTATTCATTTACTCTTCATCTACATATGTCCTTATATTTAAAGTTAGTTTATTGTAGACAGCACATGACAGGGCCTTGTTTTCTGATCCACTCTGACAGTCTCTGTCTATTGACTGATGCGTTTAGATCATTCACATTCAAAATGGATTGATGTCTACTATATTTGTTACCATTTTTTTCTGGTTTTTACCCTGGCTTTTTGTTCCTTCTTTGATTCTACTTTTTATGCCTTTTGTGATTCTAATTTGAGCATTTTATGTTATTACACTTTCTTTTCTTTCTTGACATTAAAGTTATAATTCTTTTTTCCTTTTTCTTTTTTTTTCTTTCTTTCTTTTTTTTTTTTTTTTTGGTGATTGCCCTAGAGTTTGCAATATGCATTTACAGTGAATCCAGGACCAGTTTAAATTACACTAAACCATTTCTAGGGTAGTATGAATACCTTATAATAGCAAAATAATTCTAATTCCTCCCTCCCAACCCCTGAATAATTGCTGTCGTTTATGTCAGTTATACATAAGCATACATACATACGTAACAATACATAAATGAATACACTGTTGCTATTATTTTGAACAAAGCTGTTATACATTTGATCAATTAAGAAAAATACAAAGTTTTTATTTTGTCTTATTCTTTCTTTAATGCTTTCTTTCTTTATGTAGATACAAGTTTCTGATCTGTATCTTTCCCATCTCTCTAAAGAACATCTTTACAAAGTTCCTCAATTTTGATTTGTTTGAGAAAGTATTTCTCCTTCACTTTGAAAGGATAATTTCACATGATAAAGAATTTTAGATTGTTTTTTCCCCTCCCAACTCTTTAAATATTTCATTTTCTTCTTAACTGAATGGTTTCTTAAGAGGAGGCAGATGTAATTCTTATTTTATAGGTGTGGTTTTTTTTGGCCTATATCATGCTTTATGTTCTCTGATATTTCTGGATCTGTGGTTTGGTATCTGACATTAATTTGAGGAAATTCTTAGTCATTGTTTCAAATATTCCCTCTGTTTCTTTATCTTTTCTCCTTCTGGTATTCCCATTACATGTGTCCTACACTTTTTGTAGTTGTCCCACAGTTCTTGGATATTCTATTCTCTCTTGCTCTCTTTTTTTTTTTTTTGTCTTTTGTATTTTTGGTTTTCTGTTTTGGAGGTTTGTATTGAGATACACTCAAGCTCAGAGATTCTTTCCTCAGCCCAGTCCAACCTACTAATAAGCACATCAAAGGCATTCTTGATTTCTGTTACAGTGTTTTTGATTTCTAGCAATTCTTTTTGGTTCTTTCTGAGAATTTCTCTCTCTGCTTACATGGTCTGTCTGTTTTTGCATGCTATTTACTTTTATCTATTAGAGCCTTTAGCATATGAATCATACTTTTCCTGAACTCCCAATTTTATAATCCAAAATCCATGCCATATCTAACTCTGGTTCTGATGCATGCTCTGTTTCTCAGACTATGTTTTTGGCTTTTAGAATGCCTTGTAGTATTTTCTTAATAGCTGGACAGTGATGTACTGGGTACAAAGAACTGCTGTAAATAGTCCTTTAGTAGTGTGGTGGTAAGGGAAGCATTCTATAATCCTATAATTACGTCTCAGTCTTTTATGAACCTGTACCTCTGGACTGTGAATTTAACAAGTGCTTCTCAGGTTTAGTTTTTTTTTTCTCCCCATTTAGGTGCAACAGGATGGCTAGAGTGGGTTGGATTTGGATATTTCCCTTCTCTCACATGGACAGCTAGAGGGGACTTGCACATTAGGCTCTGATAAAACCCCAGCAGGTTAGTCTCTGGTAGAATAGTTTCTCCTAAAGACAGGCCTTCTTAAGAAGAACAGAATGCTCTGGTGTGTTTCAAAATGATCGCCTCACCACTTCCCTGTCAGAAGCAGGAGGTTTTTTTCTGATTTCTACTGTGAGAACCTGGTAATCTCCTAGAGCTGAAACTCATAAATATGTGGGCACCCTCCCTATTATGGGGTCTCCCTGGAGTTTTTGATCCTCAGAATTGTCTTGCTGTGCCTCCAGCATTCATCAATTACAATTAAGTTTTCCTACTCTCCATCTGGTTTCCATGAGGGTTTCTGCTCCAGTAACTTGTGATTCTCTTTAATTGCCTGTCAATGTCTCCAGTTTGGGGAGCAGTTTACCTTGTAATCTCACTTCTATTATGGATCTAAGAAGAATTGTTGATTTTTCCAGTTTGTTCAACTTTTTACTTATTAGATGGAGTGGCAACTTACAAGCTTCTTAGGTGCTGGACCTGGAAACCTTGTATTTCTCTTTTATTCAACTTAATATGTTTTATTTCCCTTGAGACTGCCTACTTGGTCTGTGGATGTTTTTTTAAGTTTTTTGTTTATTTGTTTTTAGTTTCCAAGTGTTTGGAGGTTTTCTTTTTATCTTTCTGTTGTTAGTTTGTAGCTTAAATTCATTGTGGTTAGAGAATACACTTTGTATCATTTAAATTATTTTAAGTTTGCTGAGGTTTGTCTTATGGCCCAGAATAGCATATGTCTTGAAATATATTCTGTAGGCATTTGAAAAATTGTGCATTATGCTGTTATTGGATGAAGTATTTTATAAATGTTGATTAGATCCTGTTGGATGATAGTGGTATAGTGGCCTTGATGTCTTCTCAGCACTCACTGATTTCCCGTGTAGTATTATCTGTTGTTTTTTGGTCTGTTTTTTATTGACATAGAGTCAGTTTACAGTATTGTGTCAATTTCTGGTGTCCAGCATAATGTTTTAGTCATACATATATATATGTTCATTTTCATATTCTTTCTTGTTATAGGTTACTATAAAATATTGAATATAGTTCCCTGTGCTATAAAGAATAAACTTGTTGTTTATCTATCTTATATATAGTAGTTAGTATTTGCAAATCTCAAACTCCCAATTTATCCCTTCCCACCCCCTTTCCCTCCTGATCACCGTAAGTTTGTTTACCATGTCTGTGAGTCTGTTACTGTTTTGTAGGTAAGTTCATTTGTGTCTTTTTTTTTTTTAGATTCCACATATGAGTGATATCATATGGTATTTTTCTCTGACTTAATTCACTTGGAATGACAATCTCCAGGTCCGTCCATATTGCTGCAAATGGCATTATTTTATTATTTTTAAATGTCTGAGTAGTATTCCACATCTTCTTTATCCAGTCATCTGTCCATGTACATTTAGGTTGCTTCCATGTCTTGGCTACTGTATATAGTGCTGTTATGAACATTGGGGTGCATATATCTTTCAAATTAGAGTTCCCTTCAGATATATGCCCAGGATTGGGATTGCTGGATCATATGGTAAGTCTATTTTTAGTTTTTTGAGGAATCTTCATACTGTTTTCCATAATGGCTCTACCAAACTATGTACCCAACAACAGTGTAGGAGGGTTCACTTTGCTCTACACCCTTGCCAGCATTTATCGTTTGTGGACTTTTTAATGGTGGCCATTCTTACTGGTGTGATGATGACACCTCATTGTAGTTTGGATTTGCATTTCTCTGATAGTTAGCTATATTGAGCATTTTTTTTCATGTTCCTATTGGCCATTTGTATGTCTTCATTGGAGAATTGCTTGTTTAGGTCTTCTGCCCAGTTTTTGATAGGGTTGTTTGTTTTCTTGTTATTAAGTTGTATAAGCTGCTTATATATTCTGGAAATTAAGCTGTTGTCGGTCTCTTCATTTGCAAATATTTTCTCCCATTCTGTTGGTTGCCTTTTTGTTTTGCTTTGCCGTGCAAAAGCTTGTAAGTTTAATTAGGTCCCATTTGTTTATTTTTGCTTTTATTTCTATTGCCTGGGTAGACTGCTGTAGGAGAACATTGCTAAGATTTATGTCAGAAAATGTTTTGCCTATGTTTTTGTCTAACATGTTCATAGTGTCTTGTCTTATATTTAAGTCTTTTAGCCATTTTGAGTTTATTTTTGTATAGGTGTGTGGGAGTGTTCTAACTTCACTGATTTACTTGCTGCTACCCAGTTTTCCTAACACCATTTGCTGAAGAGGCTGTCTTTTCTCCATTGTGTATTCTTTCCTTCTTTGTCGAAGATTAATTGGCCATAGGTCTGTGGGGTTTTTCCTGGGCTCTGTATTCTGTTCCATTGATTCATATGTCTGTAACAAATACAGATACTATACAAATACATGCTATTTTGATTACTGTGGCTTTGTAGTATTGTCTGAAGTCTGGGAGTCCTCCAGTTTCTTTCTTTTTCTTCAATATTGCTTTGGCAATTCTGGGTCTTTTGTAATTTCATACAAATTTTAGAATTATTTGTTCTAGTTCTGTGAAAAAATGTCCTGGGTAATTTGATAGGGATTGCATTAAATCTGTAGATTGCTTTGGGTAGTATGGCCATTTTGACAATATTCATTATTCCAATCCCAGAGCATGGAATATCTTTCTGTTTCTTTAGGTCACCTTTAATTTCTTTAATCAATGTTTTGTAGTTCTCCAGTGTATCTGTTGTTGAGAGAGGGATATTGAAGTCTTCAACCATAATTGTGGATTTGTCCATTTTTCCTTGTAAGTCTTACCAGTTTTTCTTCACATATTCTATAGCTGTGTGTTTTGTACACGTGCATTTAGGATTGCTATATCTTCTTGTTAGATTTTTATCATTATATGAAAACTCTCTCCCCTTTGCATTCGATTTTGTTTGTTCTGAAGTCTGCTTTTTTTGATATTATCATCTTTCTTTTGATTAATGTGCACGACACATCTTTTTCCATCCTTCTACTTTCAGAATGCAGGACTTTTTTCTTTCTTTCTTACTTTTTTTTTGTTTTCAGTTTTCACAAGTATTCAGAAGTATGCTGTTTAAAAATTTTCATAAGTGTGATATGTCTTGGTATGGATTTCTTAGGTTTTATCTCACTTTTGATTTGCCCAGCTTTGGTTTCCTCCTCTTCCTCTCTTTTCAGAACTCCAGTGACACAAATGTGAGATCTTTTGTTAGAGTCCCATGGTTCCCTAGGGAACTGTATTTTTTTTCAGTCTATTTTCTCTCTGTTGCTCAGATTGAGACATTTCGTTTTGTTCTATCAGTTCACTGATTATTTTCCTCTATCCCCTTAATTCTGCTGTTAAGTTCACTGTTGAATTTTAGTTTTGGTTACTGTATTTTTCAGTTCTGAAATTTTTATTTATTTCTTCCTTATATCTTCTATATCTTTGCTGGCTTTCCCCCCTTCTTTGCAAAGACTTCCTGTTTTTTCATTTGTTTCACACATGTTTATAAAATTCATTTTACAAAGTATGTTTATTTTATCAAGCGTGTTTAAAATTTATTTTAACATAATGTCTATTTTATAAAATTAATTGATAAAATAGTAAATTTGTAATAGATATGAAAAGATGTTTAGGATATTGTTTAGTGATGTATATTACGTTAACATCTTATGATACATAATATTACATAGTGAATAAACTCTAGCTACCTGTTTCCATATGCCTAGGGAGAGATGATCACCAGAATATAAAAGTAGTTAGTTCTAGATGATGTTTAGTTTCCCTTTGAACTCTTTGTTAACTTTTATCCCCAGTGATCTTGCATTATTTTTCCAAAATCTATAAAATTAGTTTTTGAAAAATGTCCCAAGCATGAGCATTTTGTTTGCAATTTTTTTGTTGTTATTTTCCCTTGTCTTTAAACTTTTTAAAGTAGATTTCAGATTGGGAAGGATCGGTTAATTAAATCTGCTTGGTCATTTAATGAGCACAGGGGTTATTATTCCATGCACAGATGGTTTTATAGACTATAATGAGTTGGTTTTTAGACTATGAAGAAAATAAGTGAAATGTTATGAAATATTTCTGTAAATCTTTGTAGTTTGCTATTATTTACCATCATATTTTAATTATATACTTTATGCTTGATTTTACTGCTGCTGTTAATTATGTTAGAGTTGATTATAAAAGTATATTACAAAGATGTTGATCACAACATAAATTTTGTAAATATGCATTACTCAGTAACACACAACTTCATAGAGTGTATGTGTATAGGTATAATTTAAAATGACCGTTTCCCACATAAAATGATTTAAATAAATTTGTCAAAGTTTATAATGTTAAAGTCAACCATCAGAAAGTGGTATTTTGGAAAATTTTTAATTATGAAGATAATATATTTGTCTCTATTATCTTTTTGCTTTTACCTTTTGTAGGTGATTATAGCCTTCTGGTATCGCACATATATGGGAATAATGAATTTATTTGGGTTAGAAACTAAGACCTGCTGGAATGTGACCAGAATAGAACCTCTAAATGAAGTTCAAAGCTGTGAAGGCATGTTTCTTCCTAAAATGCTGCTGTACTGTCAGTAATGTTTACATAAACATTTTATAATGTTATGACTCACTTTAAGAATTATTATAAACTACTGTGATTGATTTTTTTTCTTTAAAAACACTCTAGAACTGATTCACCTGAAGGAGTACTTACCCTTTAAAGTAATCTTCTGAGAAGGCTATGTAACTTACTAATATGAGTATTATTTTGGAATTTAATTTCAATATTAATATACTGTAATTTAAGGCCATCCTGATTGTAAGTCATTCCTCCATTTCAGAATAAGGAGGTACCAAAAAAAAGCTTCGGGGCAGTTTGAATACATAATTTTGGGGGATGTAGATAAAACAATCAGAATTCTACCTGTAATAGTTAATGTAAAAATTTAGTTAAACATACATATTTTGAAATCAGATATATGATAATAGATTACATTAGAAATTCTGCTTTTTAGTGTGCTCTCACAGTCCATGAATTGTTCTAAACAAACTTTTAACATATATCTTCTACATCAGTATCTTTGCCCAGGAACTGCTTTTAGAATCCTCTTAACAGTTTTTCAGGTTCTGTAATTGCCACTTCTATTTAAGATGTTTTCAATTTAGCACTATTTGCAATGTGAGTATACTGCTGTCCCTTGAAACTCTTATTCAGAATCACATGTATCTACTTGTATAACACTCACATAGTTTTTTTTTATTTCTTCATATTCTCTACATTATATAGATTTGTAGACTTGTGTACAGTAACATTCAGATCTTTAAATATATCCTAAGTCTGTATTTCCACGTTTTCCTTACAATTTTACTGATTCCCTTGGGTGATCTTTGTAACATCTAAAACAGCATTGGTAGAAGATATTTGAGGGCAATTAGACTTTTTTTTTTTGGTACAAAGAAAAGGAAACAAGAAAATGCCTCATAAAATGAGAGACTTAATCATTTTAGAAGGTATAACCTTGGGGGAGGGTATAGCTCAGTGGGAGAGCTCCTGCTTAGCCTGCATGAGGTCCTGGGTTCAATCCCCAGTACCTCCGTTAAAGATAAATAAATGAATAAACAAACTTTTAAAAAAAATTTTAAAGACGGTATAACCTTTTCCAAAGGATGGAAAAAAATCACCTCATATATATACATTGATGATATTTATTAAGTTGCCACTGAGTGATAGATTAGTGTTGGCACTTGGGACCCCAAGATAAACCAGGTAAACATGGGGTCTTACCCTTATAGAACTCACAAAGTAAAAGGGATGTTAGTGGTTACAACTGTGGTGGATACTACAGGTAAGAAAATAGTGTTGCTGAGGTTAGGAGAAGTGTTTCAAGAACAGGGACCAGCTAATTCCAAAGTCCTGAGGCAAGAAAGAACTGAAAGAAAGCTAGGCTTCCTAGAGCAGAGAAATTTAGAAGAAAACATGATGTGAAATGATGTTTGGGACATAAGCAAGAGTCAGATAATGAAGGACAATTTACTTGATAAGGATTTTATATGTATTCGTTGAATTTTAACAGATTTTTATTTTTAAAATATTATTTTGGCAATTATATGGAAAATATATTAGTAAAAGACAGAAGTTAATTCAGTGAGGCCAGGTAGGAAATTACTGTGCTCTCAGTAAATGATTGCAGGAAAAGTAACTAGGAAATGAATGGATTTGACAGATAGTTGGAAACAGAACTGACAAGATTTGATAATTGTTTGAAAGGAGATGGGAAGGAGAGTGAAATTATGAAACACTGGTCTCTGGCCTAAATAACTGAGTTTCTCCATTCAGAATGGTGAGAAACATTTTAAAAGTAGCAGGCTTGAGTTGCTACATTAATTTGAGATCTCTGAGAGACCCCAAAGTGGTGATGTCAAGTGGCTACCTGCATATGCGCATATAGGAATAAGAAGAAAGTTCTCATCTGAGCATGCACTTGGAGTCCTCTGTATATAAATGATAATTGGAGCCATGGAAGTGGAAGAATTTCCTTAAGGAGAATATTCAGACTGAGAAGAGAAGAGGGCATATGGAAGAGGATAAGGTGGTCCAACATTAAAGGGCGGTTGGTAAAGAAAGAGAAATTATTGGGACAAAATGAAAAGGAATGGTCAGAGGAGTAGAAGAAAGGCTAGCCTTCCAATCTTGGCTGCACCAGTTACGGCTAAATAACTTTTGGCAAGTTACTTTTTCTATGCTGTTTTTCTCAACCATTAAAAAATGTGTTTTTATACCAAGTAAACTCAGATTTGTTCTGAGTATTATGTGAGATGGTAATTGTAAAGCACCTAGTAGATTGTGTGTTCATATATGTGTGTGTATATATATATATTGATTTTATCTAGCAAAAAACAAGAATAATGCAATGGATTTTGTCTTATAATTTATCAAGTGACTACAGACAGTTCCGGATACTGAACAACAGCAGCATTACCTAAATAAAATGAAGCACCGACTAATCGTAACAGCCCAATAATACTATAATAGGGAAAACTATAAATGTAACTACAATAAAATATAAAGTATAAATGTAACTAACAACACCTCATGGAAGGGGAAAGCACTAATGTAATTATTAAATAGAGCAGCAATCTGAAAAGCAAATGCTTTCTACAAGTTCATGAGGTCTTGATTACAAAGCATTGAGATAATTGCACCCAACTGCTATATAGTCATTTATTCATTAAATGTTGAACAATCTGTGTCTTTTTAAAGGATTGGGAGACCCTGCTTGCTTTTATGTTGGTGTGATTTTTATTTTAAATGGAATAATGATGGGATTGTTCTTCGCATATGGTACATACTTGAGGTAAGACTACTGTGTTAAAAGATCATTCAGTGGGATTGTAAGGACTTGCTGACATTTATTGATTAAATCAAGTGGATAATTAATGAGATTCATTGATTAATAGTAGGAAACTGTGTAGATTTTATGTTTTTCAGAAACTTAGCCAAATATCATGCAGCCAAAAACTAGAGTTGTCACTAATATATCTTAAAATCTTTCCCTTTTCCCTTGTGGGGGTATTTTTGAGCTCATTAAGATTCCTTAACAAAGATTTTAATGAAAATACCTCTAGATCACATGTAAAATTATTATAACATTAGAGGGGATCTTTGTTTGGCATTAGTAGCAGATTATTTCTAATTTTAATCTCTGTATGTGTAAAATTAAGAAAGCAGTAAAAGGAAATGTGTATCACTTGTGGCAGACACATTTGATAGCATGTCTTTCTTGATAATGGCACCACAATTTTGTTTGGGTATTAGAACACCTAATTTCAGGTGATAGTTTGAAGTTGACTGTGACAGTCATGTATTCTGCTTCCCAGTCTCCATTGCACATTGGGAAAGCCATACGAGCTAGCTTTTCCAGTAAAATCAGACTTGGTTACACCCAGGAAAGCATTTGCCTTTCTAACAAAAGGTTAGATTCTGCTGCCCTTTTTCTGTTTCTTCCTGCTTTTACTTGGATGTGATACTTGGAGCTGCTGCAGGCATTTTGTGATCATGAGGAAAAGGCCATAAGCATAGCACATATGTCTGCCCTGACATCCTTTTGCTGCTGAACAAATGCCAATAAGCACTTATCTTTTATTTTCTTGTTGAATAATTTAATAAACATCCATATTATTTATGCCACTTTTTGTCAGATTTTCTGTTTCTTACAGCAGAATACATTCTTATCTGAATCATTAGCTTTCTTTAAATGTTATTCTTGAACTGCATAACATTTAAAGTTAAAAATCTAGATTTAATCTTTCAACAATTATTTTTATTGAAGTATAGTTGATTTACAATGTGCTAGTTTCTGGTGTACAGCATATTCATTTAGTTATACATGTATCTATTCTTTTTCATATTCTTTTTCATTATAGGTTATTACAGGATATTGAATATAGCTCCCCTGTGCTATACAGTAGGACCTTGTTGTCTATCTGGGTTATATATAGTAGTTTGAATCTGCTAATCCCAGACTCTTAATTTATCCCTCCCTGCCCCTTTCCCCTTTGGTAACCATAATTTTGTTTTCTATGTCTGTGAGTCTGTTTCTGTTTTGTAAATAATTATTACTGTATCATAAAACAAATGTAAATAAGACCATGTGATATTGGCATAGGGATAAACAAATAGATCATTGGACTAAAGTAGAGCCCAGAAGCAGAAATGTACATTTGTATACACTTCTATGATAAAGCGATATTGCAGATCAGTGGGTAAGGATAGGCTTCTCAATAAATGGTGTTGGAATAATTGGGAGATCTGGAGCAGAGAGAAGTCAAAACTTAAAAAAATAAATCCTCGTTGGATTAAAAGATCAAATATGAAAGGTAAAATTGTAAAATGCTTAGAATGTTACATAGGAGAAAATCATTAGTAACTTGGAATAAGAAAGGCTTTCTTGAACAAGGTACACAATCCATTCCTGAAGGAAAAACTGATAAATTTGATGGAAAAAATTTAAGTTCCTCAGATATTATAGAATCAAAGATAAGCCATAAACTGTGAAACGATATTGCAAAGCATATATCCAGCATAGTATCCAGACTTACATTCATTCATTTGATAAATATTTATTGAATGCCTGCTGTGATTGGAAGCACTATTCTAGGTGCTGAGAATACAAAACAATTTCTCATGGAGTAGGAAAAAACTAAGAAGATAGACAATCCAATTGAAAAATGGGCAAAATATTTATGAACAGACATTTTCCAGAAGAATTCCAAACTGCCAATAATACATATGTAAAATTGACCACCATCATTATCAGTAAAATACTAATTTAAGCCACAATGAGATACTATTTCACATCTACTAGATTGGGAAAAGGAATTTTATCCTTGGTAAGTGAACATGTAAATTAGTACAACTATTTTGGGAAAATGGTGTGCATTATCTAGTAATTTTGAAGATGTACTGACCTTTATAACTCAGCAATTCCAATTTAATAGAAAAGAACTGAAAAAAAGTATGTATGTATGTGTATAACTGAATCGCTTTGCTGTACACCTGAAACTAACATTGTAAATCGACTATGCTTCAACAAAAAATAAGAATAAATAAATAAATAGATGAAGCTAAAAAAATGAATCAAGTAAATATACCTAAGTATACCCCTCAATCTTAGAATTATTACCATAGTTTAGTAACCCTGTTACCCTCCACAGCAGTCATCGTTGTTTACCAGGAAATATGTATAAGAACAAAGCAGCATTATTTGTAATAGCTCCAAACTAGAAACAACTTAAATGTCCTTCAACAGAGAAATGTGCACATTGTAGATTTATTAATATAGTGAAATACTATACAATAATGAGAATGAATGAACTATAGGTACAAACATCAACATGGAAAAATCTTACAAATACAATGTTGAAAGAATTAGGGCAGGCACAAAATTTTAAAAAATGCTGCAAACTTCCATTTGCGTTAATTTTGAATATAGTAAATGGTAGTCTGATACGTTTACAGAAGCAGTTACATTGATAATCACAAAACTCAGGATAGTGGCTGTCTCAAGGGGTGACAAGGGAGGTCTGAGGGTGTGATCAGTTTTCTGTTTCAATGACTTAACAGATTATAAGGACATCCTGCTTTATAAGTGTTCTATAAATTATCTAGAAATTTTTATGCTCTTTTCTATATGTATGCCATATAAGAAAAATGTATTTATATAAGCTCATCAGTATTTTGAGAGAAAAGGATTACTTTGAGATTATGATACAGGCTTTAAAAATTTCTATCTTTGAAAATAGGTTGTATTACTTATGGTTTTTCAAATATGGAAAATGTTACACAAGGCTAAGACATTTTAAAAACTAGTGCTTTTCACTGGGAGAGCTACCCAAAAGGTGATAATTCTCTAAATTGGCTACAAAGTTCTGGAATATCATATATATTATAAGTCTCCAGTCTCTAAGAAAGATGTGTAAATGTAACATTTGTTGGCTATAAAAGTGTCACCAAAACTGTGAGGAAATTAGAAACTATGGCATATAAGAAACAAAAGAAATAGGAATTTGGAGGGAAATTTTGTATTTCTTACCCTGGCCATTCTCCCCGACTGGCATTAACTTGGAAGGTAGACATTCCATTTCTTTTCTTTTGGTGCTTAATGATAAATGGTTAGCATGTATCTCTAACTTGATCAAGTCTAGAATTAATTGATATCCTTCCCCTTCTTCTGATCAGTGCAAGAAATTTCAGAACACTTTGCTTGAAAACAGCCCCTCAATCTTAGAATTATGACCATAGTTTAGTAACCCTGTTACCCTCTACAGCAGTCATTGTTGTTTTTTTTTATGTTGTCAAACCTACCTTAGATTTATCCACATGTTCCTAGTGTCTATATGCAGCGTTTATTCTTGCTTCTCATGCCTTCCTCCTCTCAATTTCTTTTTTTCCAAAGTACGTCCTTTGAATTTCCTTCAGTGAAAAATCTCTTAAAGGTAAATTACTTCCCATTGGCTTTCCTCTGCTTGTTTTGTTGAACTCATTCCTTCCTTTCGTCAATCCTTCAACCAATATTTATTGTCTTACAAGTGTGAAGCTGTGTATACAATGGTGAACAATACTTTAAAGAAAAGGCAACTTTAAGAGATGGTTCTTAATCTTTGATAATTATCAGTCATTCTTGATCTGAGTTTTGTGTTCCACATTGTTGTTTCTTTGGGCTTTCAACAAAAGCATATTTGCAGTAGTTTAGATGGTTCGGTTACTGCTAAATGAAACTGTTAGACTCTTGTCTTCATCTCTCAGTCACTGAAATCCAATTGGGAATGACAAAAATTTGCCTCTACTCAGAATATTAAAAAAAATGCAACATAAACTCTGAAGTGCTGGCCTGTTTGTTAAAAATTATTTTATGTTCACACCTAATATTTTAACTTAGAAAATATTTTAAATATGAGAAATTGTAAGATTCAGATATTTTATATGGACACTTTGTATGCTTGTGCATTCAAGATTAAAACATCAACTACAACGTGGGTACTTTAAAACTTTTGCTTTTATTTTATGTGATTTAGTACTATGACAGTTTAAAATCTAAGATAATTTTGTGAAGAACTCCCTATATTTTATATGAATTATGATTATATACTTTTTTTTTTACAGTGGGACTCACCTTGGAGGTCTAATTACAGTATTATGCTACTTTTTCAACCATGGAGAGGTTTGTTTTTTAGAAAATAATGTTTAAGTAATAGAAGGAGTGGTACAGGAACAAGGAAATTCGTCAAAACTATATTTAATTGCATGTTAGTTAGGACTTCACAATATTTTAAAGAACTTTGTATTGTAATCATGTTGATCCACATTTTTACACAACAATTAGAATTTATGATGTGAAATATCTTGTCTAGTTTTTAGTATATATATTTATACAGTACATATATTTTGTAGAAAAAGAAAATACTGTATTTGTTGAATTCAGGCACTTCATACACATTATCTCATTTACTCCTACCAAACTTTTTGTAGGAGGAGTTGTTATCCTCACAGTAGAAGATATGAAATAAAAGTTTGGACTTGAGTAAGTTAAGTTACTTATCCAAGATTCCACATTTACTGTGTGATAAGGCTGGGTTTCCTATTCTACATTGGTCTGACTTAAAACCTCACCTCCTTCTATTATATCATGTTGCCTTTCAATAACACTAAATGCTGAATGCAAAATAGAAATTAACTAATTCAGCCCAACAAGACATGATCCACCTTAAAAGAGCTCATGGAAACTTACTTGAATGAATAGGATAGATTCAGTCAACAAAATATCGAGGACAGGACACGTGCCAGACTCCTGTGTTAGATGCTGAGGATATGGCAGTGGAAAGTGGAAGAATCTGACTGCTAGTTTTTGGAAACGAAGTATATAATATGTTATGGCACAGGTTATTGGGATAGAAGTCTTTATCTATTACTATTGGGAAAGGTAGATACTTGGTTAACTTAAAAATCAATTAGACAGGGGAATCATAAAAAATTTATACATAAGTATCTTAAATATATTAACTTAAAGCAAACAAATACGTTGTCAGTCACCAGTGCGTTAGTGTAAAGACAAGACCTTTTCCTGGAGTATGCCAGACGACTGGCATTATGAGTTGACCTTTTTATACATTCTATAATTCATCTTCTAAGGTTTATAATTTTGGTTTCTTGGAAGAGGAGCAATAAATTTTAAGACTCTTGCAAGGTTATAAGAGTTTAGATTCCTTGTAGAATTTCAGATTCTTGATATAAAATTTTATAATATTCTCGCCCATGTGTTTTGGAAATAATCAGTTTTTAGTTGTTTTTAGAAATTTATAGTTAACTCTTTCAAAGGTTTATTTCACAAATTCAGAGACAATCTTCATTACTTGTGATGTGTGTCTTTACTCTTTTTAAGAGTTTGTGTCCTGTACAAACTCTCTTGGTGTTTGTGAATGCCCTTGGTGACATTTGTTTAAGATGTTTTTCTGAGCATGTATACATCCCAAAGCCCTGGGATGCCAGGGTCATCACTGCAGAGCTGGAATGTGGATCTGGTTTGTCATTTCCAGAATCCTCACTGCTTCTATACCTAGCATCTTGTTTGTCCTTTGGGTTTCTTTATGTTTGGCCTGATGATATCTTTCGCTTGTGTCTGTACTTGCTAGTTAATGGCTCTCTACCTAATGGCTATGTGCTATTAGGAGAATTCCAAAAACTGAAAAGCTATACTAGGCATTCAGAAATAAATGACCCTAGTATTAAAATTATTAAAACCAACCCATCCATGATTTTTAAATTAATGATGTTTATTGCAATGGAACATAAGGTAAAGTAAGCATTTTATTGATTTCAGGCTACTCGGGTGATGTGGACACCACCTCTCCGGGAAAGTTTCTCATATCCATTTCTGGTACTTCAGATGTACATTTTAACTATGATTCTCAGGTAATTTTTATTTACAGAACAAATGTAGATAAGTCATAAGTGTCTTAAAAATACTTCAACCTATCAAATTATAATTACTAAATTTAGGCTCTATTTAAAAAAATTTACTTCAAAATTAAATTGTGTTTCCAGTTTAAAAAAGTCTAAAATTACTATTGAAAAATTGCTTTTTATGTAAGAGCCTAGGCTACAGGTTTTAGATAACTAAATTATGTTTTAAAAAATCAAAATGTATATGCTAATATATATTTGGTAAAGGCTCAAAGGTTTTTGAGAAACTGTTACTTTTTTTCCTTCAACACATTTGTATGCTGACTTTGTTTTCCAACCTGTGGATTTGATGGAGCATGAAGAAAGTATGCTATGCACAAATGAATTTGAAAAATGTTAGGTTAGCTAGATAAGGATTATCTATAATATGTTTATGAGTATTTCTGAACTACTGATGTTTCTAGAAGCTCAACCAAAGTTTCATCTTAGCTGTTTTCCCTGGACACATTTTTTGTTAGGTGGGGTTAATTTTATAAGCATTTCAGAAGTTTAAGAAGTCTGAGAAACAACAAAAGCATAAATAGTAGAATATTATAAATAACTTTATCATAGAAATAGGTTTCATTGAACGTTCATGAGATTTCTCACTGAATGAAATACTGATCACTGTCTCCTCCAAACTCTGAGAGAACCTCATACTTTACTTCCTAGTACCTATCAGGTTCTGCCTATATTAAAATCATTTATGTACGTCTTCTTTCTTTTTTAAAATTATAAATTTGCTAATAAAACACACATATACAAATGTCTAAATATACACTTAATATATTAAAATGCCACTGGAAACAGAGACCATGCCACATTTCTCTCTTTAACCATGGAGCACCTAGCACACTGCCGTGCAGACATTTAATGCCCTTGTATGTCAGCGTGAAGAAAGTAAATAGAGGCATACTGCATGGCTACCAAGCTCGAGAAGGAAACAGCTAACTTCTGGTCTGTTACCTACATGAAAGTTTATTTTTGGATTTTATAAATATAAGATAACAGTACTTAATGAGTATATTTTGTGATAATACTACTCAACAATATGAACATTAAAAATTTTCTTTTGAAAATTTATATACTGTAGTAGGATTTATCACAATCCAATACAACCTTTATAAAAAGAACAGTTTTATAATATACACAAAATGTTTGCATTTCTTTTTTTTCATATTCTAAAAGATAGTAAAAATCTTCTGTGGTAAAAGGTATTGGTTATTAATATATCTCATAATTGCAGGATGGACAGTTTAAACTTCAATATGCAGTAGTTTAACTGTATTCCAGAATTATTCTTTAAAGTGATTGTTTAAAATCTCTTTAAATTTTTCTTATCATTGTTAACATATTATTTCACCAGCACTTATACTTCTCTTCATTGCTTTTTGAAACATAAAAGTAGTGTTACATGAAAACTGCTGCTGCTCGTATAGGTAAATATCTCAAGGTATGCAAAGACAGTTCACATTCTGTTTTCTGACCTTCTTGCTGGAGTACTAAATTTCTAATTTTATACATAGTTACCGTTTTTAATTGAATATATGGTTGATTTACAATACTATATTAGTTTCAGGTGTACGAAATAGTGATTCATTGTTTTTACAGATTATATTTCATTAAAAGTTATTGCAAGATAATGACTGTAATTCCCTGTGCTGTATGTTTAAAATACTTACTGATAAACTAGATACAACATTTTATTTAAATCCCTAATTTTGGTTGTTTTATAATAAGCATTTTTGGAATCCAAATACTTTAAGTTATTTTTAATGAGCTTTTAAAAGTTAACTATTTTGTTGTCTTACATCAAAGGTAAGGGTAACATTAGATTTTAACATTTTGCAACTAGTCTTTCTGTTC